TTGAGAATTTGTAGTTGTCCTCCATTGATGAAGCTTTGTTGAATTTCCTTTTTTTTGTCTTGTTTTTTTGGGAAACTAGAAATTTGAAAATGTGGGAGAGACAACATATACAAATTTTGCTTCCACACTGTTGAACAAGACATTGTGATGCAAACCACACCTTGTAGTAGTTGAAGGTTTAGATGAACCATATAAATTGAATTTGCTTTGAACAGTTTTGAATTTGCCTCGAAGGTTTGAGAATTGTAGTTGCCCTCCATTGATGAAGCATTTGTTGGCACCATAAATTGGTTTTGCTTCACATTGTCTTGATCAAGAGTGTGCGAAGCTTTTGAGAATTGTGGTTGCCCTCCATTGATGAAGCTCTTGTTGGCACCATAAATTGGTTTTGCTTCACACTGTCTTGATCACGAGTGTGTGAAGCTTTTGAGAATTGTGGTTGAACTACTTTGATGAAGCTTTGTTGGCACCATAAATTGGTTTTGCTTCACACTGTCTTGATTAAGAGTGTGTGTAGATTTTGAGAATTGTGGTTGCCCTCCATTGATGAAGCTCTTGTTGACACCATAAATTGGTTTTGCTTCACATTGTCTTGATCAAGAGTGTGTGAAGCTTTTGAGAATTGTGGTTGAACTCCTTTGATGAAGCTTTTGTTGGCACCATAAATTGGTTTTGCTTCACACTGTCTTGATCAAGAGTGTGTGAAGCTTTTGAGAATTGTGGTTGCCCTCCATTGATGAAGTTCTTGTTGGCACCATAAATTAGTTTTGCTTCACACTGTCTTGATCAAGAGTGTGTGAAGCTTTTGAGAATTGTGGTTGAACTCCTTTGATGAAGCTTTTGTTGGCATCATAAATTGGTTTTGCTTCACACTGTCTTGATCAAGAGTGTGTGAAGCTTTTGAGAATTGTGGTTGAACTGCTTTGATGAAGCTTTTGTTGGCACCATAAATTGGTTTTGTTTCACACTGTCTTGATTAAGAGTGTGTGAAGCTTTTGAGAATTGTGGTTGAACTCCTTTGATGAAGCTCTTGTTGGCACCATAAATTGGTTTTGCTTCACATTGTCTTAATCAAAAGTGTGAAGCTTTCTACGAGTTGTAGTGTTTGCATTATTACAGAGGGGAAATGTCTGAAGCAGATGCAAGATGGCTGAATAGCTTGATCTTCATACGCCATGCATTAAAATTGTTGTTGGCTTGCAATAAGACTTTGTTGGTGACTATAACTCTTGTTGGGCATAAGTGCTCCCATAGTTGAGTTGTCAAGCTTGAAGGTTTTTTATTATTTGTGAATGCTAAGAGTTCACATGTATAAGTTGTACAATTCGTCTTCTGGTAGGTGGAATGAATTGTGAGTTGCTTTCATCACTTGGTTGGTGGTACGAAGGTGAGTTCCTTCATCCCCAGTCATCACATTTCATCACCTGGTTGGTGGCACGAGGATGAGTTCCTTCTTCACCTGGTTGGTAGCATGAATGGCAAGTTGCCAAATGATATTAGAGTACGGGTTGTACATTTCATCACCTGGTTGGTGGCATGAAGGAGAGTACGGGTTGTACATTTCATCACCTGGTTGGTGGCATGAAGATGAGTTCCTTCTTCACCTGGGTGGTGGCATGAGTGGCAAGTTGCCAAATAATATTAGAGTACGGGTTGTACATTTCATCTCCTGGTTGGTGGCATGAAGAAGAGTACGGGTTGTACATTTCATCACCTGGTTGGTGGCACGAAGATGAGTTCATTCTTCACCTGGTTGGTGGCATGAATGGTAAGTTGCCAAATGATATTAGAGTACGGGTTGTACATTTCATCACCTGGTTGGTGGCATGAAGATGAGTTCCTTCTTTACCTGGTTGGTGGCACGAATATGAGTTCCTTCTTCACCTGGTTGGTGGCATGAATGGCAAGTTGCTAAATGATATTAGAGTACGAGTTGTACATTTCATCACCTGGTTGGTGGCATGAAGATGAGTTCTTTCTTCACCTGGTTGGTGGCATGAGTGGCAAGTTACCAAATGATATTAGAGTACGGGTTGTCCATTTCATCACCGGATTGGTGGCATGAAGGAGAGTACGGGTTGTACATTTCATCACTTGGTTGGTGGCATGAAGATGAGTTCCTTCTTCACCTGGTTGGTGGAATGAGTAGCAAGTTGCCAAATGATATTAGAGGTCGGTGTGCATCCAATATGCCATGGTGGACTCAAAGAGGTTAAGGTGTTCAATTGGGTCTTCCCTTCTAGTATAGAGTTGTAAACCAAGCTTTTGTTTTGTCTTCGCTTGAAGGGGGTGTTGAAGATCCTTCTTGTGAGAGGGCCAGGCCTGGGTTGGTTCCAATCAAGTATCTCGGCCTGAAGTTCGGCTTTCAACTTGTTTACTTCCTCAATGAGCTGTAGGATAAGGGGGTCCTGAGTGGAGTCATGTACCACTGAAATTTTTCTTTCGTAAGTCTCCATCGCTTCTTGGAAGTAGGAAATTTTAGCAAGGGTGTGTGGTTTTTTCTTGGACTCGCCGTACTGACTTCTAGGGCGAGTCTGTCGGAATACCTCAGAGTCTCCCGTACCTTCATGTTCCTCTGGGACCTGTCGTTCCTTCTCTAGATTGGCAGCTGGCCTGGGTCATGGGAGGGGATCGAGTCTTTTAGAAACCCTTGGGTCATTGATCTTCGAGCATATGTGGAGGGGATTCTCTCGACGTTGCTTTAGGAAGTCTCAGCAGTCACGATAAACGACTTTCGATCCTTCCAACCCTTCTGCAATGAGGTGTCTTCTTCCACTTCTTCTACTTTGGGTCGAAACATCTGGGTTGAGAGTAGTCTCATGTTGATCAATGTTTTGATGATTAGCTCGCTCCTCATCAGGGATACCCATGTCGGATGGAGGTGACGCTCCATGTTTTGGGGGGGCACCCAGATGATGGTTGATGTCCACAGGGGCAACGAGCTCGCGTGTTTGAGTACGCCTAGTTTCGTGGAGCGTCTCAAAGAGCTTCTCATACTGCTCATGGAGGACCTCATTCTTCATTGCTATCTTGTTGGTCTGAGCTTCTAGCTTATCGACTTTAGCTTGAAGAGCAACCCTCTTTCATTCCTTCTTTCGTTGCTTCGCGCCAGGTGTAAGAGGGGTGTCATTCTGTGTGTTGTGGCTTCCTTCGCTCCCCATGTTGGAGAGGGATGCCTGGTCAAAAGAGAGTGTACGAATGGTGGAAACCAGCTTGGCAAAGCTGAAGAGAGTGGGAATAAGTGTCATTCCCACAGATGGCGCCAAATGTTGATGCACAAAATCAGCGAGGACTTTGGTACAACAGAAAGTGTTAAGTTTGTGACCTTCGCTAGATTACTCCAGTCACTAGTGTGGATAAGTATGTAAATGGATAGAGACAGGGAAGCAAACACCAGATGTACGTGGTTCACCCAGATTGGCTAAGTCAATGGAGTAAAAGAGTTCTCATTAATTGTGAAGGGTTTACACAAGTACATAGGTTCAAGATCTTCTTTTGTGAGTACTAGTGAATGATTTAGTACAAATGACATTAGGAAATATTGTGAGAGAATGATCTCTATTTATAGAAGAGAGTTTCTAGTTTCATTCTGACATTGACACGTATCGTGATTAGCTTCTGATGTTGACACGTGTCGCGCTATGATTGGCTTCTGATGTCGACACGTGTCGCGCTTTGATTGGCCTCCTGGTTGGAGGGAAACTCTTATGGGTCCTTGATGGTATAACGTTGATCAGTGCTCAGTAGTTTCGGAATTGGTCAAATATGGTACAAACAACTATCATTGTATAAAAAAATATAGATGATAAATTTGATAACATGACTATGTATCGTTTAATTAATTAATTAATTAATTTCAAGGAATGGATCATGTTATAGCAAAGCTTTTTTTTTTTCTTGAGACACAGAATCTTTGTTTTAAATCTGCCCCTTACCCCAATTTCCACCCAAATGGGTGTCCTCAACATTTGGCTTGTGAACAATCTATAGAATAAAAACTTAAATACCTATATAAAAAGAGTTTTTATTAGTTTGATCCCTGAAATTAGACATTCCAATCAAAATGATCATTGAAATAGAAATCTATCAATATGGTCTCTGAAAATGTATCCTACAAATCAATTTAGTCTTTTTGTTGCCCTTTCGTCTAATTTTCTGTTAATTACGTGATATGGCACACGTGAGCCCCATTTATTCAATCATATGGAGTCACGTGAGATTAAACACCACTTTTCTTAAAATTTTAAAACTAAAATTAGCAAAATTTAAAATAAAAAGCTAAAAACAAAAACAACATTCTATTCCCATATATGGTCGATTGGGAGTTTTAGAGATGTTGGTGGGGTCGACAGGGGAGAGTTTAGAGGAGGTGAGGGGTTGCTGGATTTCCATGGCAGAGGCAATGGAAGAAGAAGATGGGTGTTTGGATATGGGTTCTAAGTGAATTGGCTGCCGTTTGGCAAGTACTGTCCCATTTTAAGAAAAATAGTTTTTCATGGTTTTTTTAACGAAGGCTTTTTATGGTTAATCACATGGCCATAGGATGAATATGCTAACAGAACGTTTGACGGAAAGGCAACAAAATGACTAAATTAATTTACGGGATCAATTTTTAAGGATTAAATTGATGAATTATTATTTTAAGGACCATTTTAATTGAAATGTCAAATTTCAAGGGCCAACCATGAAAAAACAAAAACCTAAAAAAATTGTATTATCCAAAAGTGAAGAGTCCTAGTACTTTTTGTGATGTACAACCTAAGTGGCTCGATTTCTTGGCATAATAATTGAATCAGCTAAAATATCTAGGGTAGCCTGAAAACAAGTTATACATTATATATGGATGCACTCGAAAAAAAAAGTTGATCAAGAATCACACGCAAGTATACAGCGAACGCCTAACTACGTTAGCTCCATCTATAGCTCTATATGTTAAGACTAGTTTCGTTGTCCAATATCCTCTGAATGCTGCTCTTTTATTAGTGGGGAACTTGTATGTAAAGTAACCCATGCTTTTATGATTAATCTCTTGGAAGGCAAAGTTCAAAATGATTAGGACAATGTCACTCCCACGCAATTTCAGGTCATACACACCTGAGGTTTTTATAAAAAGCAGTACTGTGCCTACGTTTGTTAGCTAGCAGGTATTTTTTATGGTATATCAATGTATGTATGTCCATATGTGCTCGTTTAAAAAGTGCTTTTAAAATGACTGAAAACGTTTTTACTAACCGTGTTTTTTTGGCACTTAAAGGGTTTTCTGTAAGAAGCACCAGCTATGTCCTTCTTGCACGAAGCACTTCAAATGTTTTTTTAAGATTCACTTTCATTTTTACTAAGGATTAGCTCCAAAAACACTCTCATCAAAAACGTTTTCAGTCATGTTAAAAGCACCTTCAAACGAACCTATGCATAACTAAAACGTTTTGCGCTACAAACTTGAATAAGGGGTTTTTTTTTCGAGAATAGAGAAGTGCTTCTATAATATTGTTTTTATGCTTCATAGAAAATCATTCATCTTTATAGGAAGAGCTTGTAGATGAATAGGTGTAAGAAGTATTTGAATCTCTATATATAAACCCCCCAAACAAAAACTCTTTTAAGTAAAAGTTTTCGTCTGTATGTAATTGTAACACCACCGTGTAGTAATCATCTGAGAAATTGAATTTTACTTCTATTGAGTTTACAATTGTATAACTGACGCAAGTGGGGCTCTTGCTAGGGATTTCCCATGTTTTTTTTGTAGCTAAGATTTGCTATGAGGTCCATATTTCATATGCATATCTTATGTAAAGTTATATCATTCTTTTGCTGTTTCATTTGATCTACACAGAAAATAACGAGAGCATGGCACGCTCCTTGAAGTGCAGGTGGAAGTAGAGCACTTCCACGTTGAAAACATGATTAAAGAGGTCCGTTCAAGGGATGGTGCGATGGGGCAGATAGGTATAAATTTTGTGGATATAATAACAATTCCATAAAAGGAAATATATGGAAGGCAAAGAGAGCGAGTCAGAGAGAGACAGACAGAGAGAGATAAATGCAAAGCAAAAGATTGATGCGTGGTTTCACAGAGAGAGAGAGAGAGAGAGAGAGAGAGAGAGAGAGAGAGAGAGGGAGTTGTGAGTGAAAGAGCTTAAACGCGTCTCAGAAAGGGAAACCAGACTAGTGAATGATGAAAGCGATCTAACACACAAACTTCTGCAGGGCATTATATATATATATAATTATAGGACCAATGCAATGGCACCGCCAGAGTCAAGTCCCAGTCCGATGAGTCCCTCCTCACAGAGTAACAGTCACATTCATAACTTCTCATCAGGAAAATATGTATAATGGGTTATCTATCGGACTCAAACAATGTGAAAAGACAGACACACAACTCTCCTTTCCTCTCCTCGAATAATGAAACTCAATAAATAAAATAAAAACCGATCGATTTCCAACCATTCAAATTAAACTTCATGCATAAAAGTGATCCCAAGACAAAGGACATTAATCTGGTCCTTATTCTTTCCTAGGGTTTTCACTTTATCACCATAATTTATGGAAACCCTCTTCAATATCTATACTTGTGTGATGTTTGCAAACTGTATATGACCGTATTAGGGCTCCATCTGTTTCTGTTATTTTTTATCAATCATAGTATTCCCATATTTCGGTTATAATGGCGTGATCTCAAGTAACAACTAATTTAATCGTCCAAATTGATGTAAAACGAACTTATGGACATAATATATCAGAAATTACTTTCACATGGCCATAATATAGCAAAAAAATTCAGTTACTTTTATTTATTTTATACAACGAGATATTACATTAAGGTGTGAGAAAAATAAATTAATATTGAACTCCTGTCATTCATGAGATTTAAGACCTCTCACTTACGAGTGAAGAAGAAGATCTTAAGTCGTAATTGAGGAGCCAAAAATAATCAATGAAAATATGGAGGCGACATGTGGATTTTTGGGTGAAAAAGATAAAATTGCCCTTGAGGCATACCGGAATTCCCACGCACAAGTAGTGGACAATAACAACTCAATCAAGGTCAAAGGTGATCAAAATAGGTATTTATTCAAAACATATTTCATCAATCCTCATCAAATCCTCCTCACAAGGTAATCCCCAATTATTGTTTCAAATTAGGATTGATTACCAAAATTAATCGATTAATTTCTTAATTCATTGATTAATTTTCTAATTGATTGCAAGATATTATTTTGACATAATATCTTGCAATTAGAGCCAAATAACCACCATAAGTGGCCAGACCCCCTATAAATAGCCCTCATTTCTCCAAAAAAATATAAGTTCAATTCTCTTCTAAAATTCTCCAAATTTCTCTCTCAAATTCCAACTATGGCATCGGAGGTTCTTAGGCCAAAGCCCCCCCACCCCCCAAATTCAATGTGGGCGCGTTAGGTTTTTGGCCTTAACCTAAGGTATTAATTGTTTTGCAGATGCATTTTCGTCCAAGAAGAAGAAGGTGGAAATTTGCATCCAGAAATTGGTACTTTCATTGAGAGTCTTGATTCACATGCTAGTAAAAGACTCTCGCGTTCAAGGTTTTTGTTTTCTTGTTCATTTGTAGATTTTTCATACGTTCTTATTCTTGGAATTTTTATTTATAAAAATTCTTTGATAAAACATAAAAGAAAAGTACAATGATTAGAAACTTGGAAACCACGACGAACGAAAATTCCAACGTTCAAGAATTACGACCACGGCGATCCACAAGGCTCAATGCAATGACGAGTGGAGCGGCACCACCCCCAAGGGACACCACTGTGGCTATGCCTATGGTAACCCCCACGGTGGCAGCCACCATGGCAGCTCAAGGCGAGTTGGGGACTCACGGTGAAGGCCTCACCTTGTAACCACAAGCCTAGGCTCATGCTACCTTACAACAGTGAGCCCAAGCTGCGCCACAAAAGAGTTTAGCATGACCTAAGCTCAACGAGTCCAAGCTGCAGCAGCAACTACTAAGGCAACAACCCAAGGCCTGTGGGCCCATGACACTGCATAGGCCCAAGCCGCTCCAAGACAACCCCAGCGCTCATGCATTTCCGACCCGGTCACGCGGTCCAACTTGAAGCCCAACCCATTCCCGTGGCCTTTCAAGCAGCCCAAGCCAATCTAAGACCGATTCAACCATCCCGGCTTTAAATTTACTGACCGATGATTGAACCGGGGGCATTTTCACTCTATTTCTCTGCGGATTTGACATTTCCTAACTTAAATCTCGTGCCTGAAGTCTACCACACTTCCACTACTCAAGGAGACGTATTTTGTCCAAGCTCTTCCAACCCAAATGTAGAACAACACTAGTCTCGACAAGTCATAGAGTTGACGAGCGCTCTCGCACAACAGATGACCTTAGTGAATTAGCTTTTGCATTGCACCGAAATGCAACGTGCCCCTGACGAATTTAGCATGCCACATTTCACATCTTTCAAAGGAGATAGAGACCCGAAGATGCATTTGAAACACTACTAAAGCATGATGGTCCTTTATCCGAACAACGATGCTCTTATGTGCAAGATATTCGCCACCACTTTATAAGGCGAGGTGCAAGATTGGTTCCACACCTTACCATCACGATCCATCCGGAGTTTTGATAACCTTTCCTTGGTTTTCACCAAAGAATACTTATCCTACTGCTCAATCAAGAAAAAGTCTGACTGTAGACATGTAAATTTTGTTGCAAGCAAATGAAGCATCACAAAGCTCTACGTGGTATATGACTCATCACAAATGGACAAGTCATCAATAACATGTGGCACAAAACAAGCAAAGGAAGAATAAAACTTCCCTAAAACTCGGCAAAAGGGGGAAGAAATCCTTAAAATCGGTAAGGGGACCAAAATCTCTCAAAACCAGAAAGAAAGCCAAAACATCTTCACAAAATAAACAAGAATTGAAGATTGCTCACAAAAAAGTAACAAGGCCTATAAATTTCGGCCAATAATAGAAAGGTGGCTGAAATTAAAACACATAATATGCCTAAATTCTCCAATTGATGAATCAAGACACAAATTAAGGCCAAATCCATCTAAAGGCATGACTTTGGAATTTTATAAACACAAGGTCCCAAGGCACACATACAGGTCGAAAATTACACATTGAGAAGAATCTCTGCACAAATCTTTGAAGACTAATACGCTGCCAAAGCTCTCTTCAAAAAACGCACAACCAAAGCCGAAGCTTTATGTCGACCAAAGCCGAAGCACTTCCTTAAGAATCAACAAGCACCTATGCCGATTCCTTCAAGACTTTGTTGCAAGCTTAAAACTTGTAATGACTTTCGTTTCAAGATCAAGTCACCAAGACCCTTGAATCAATGAAATCTAGCATCAATATCATCTTTGCCGCACCTTAAGGTAAAAACCATCCACGCATTGTTTCAAGCTCAAAACTTGGAGCAATCGTTCAACCGTTTGTCTGAGATCAAGTCATTGCGACCCTTGGATCAACAACATACACATCTACATCAAATTTGAAGATTGAATCAGAGGAAAATTGTAAACAGAGATTGTAACCTACAAATTCAAATCAATACAAATCTACATTGTACACGTGTTCTCGTTTCATTCGTTACAAAATTTTCGTGTTTACAAATTTGGCACGCCTGGTGGAACTTCTCTGCCTCTTGTCTCTGTCTTCAAATCCACAAGAAACTTACATGGCATCAAGAAAGGATTAATATGTTCCCGTAACCAACACGAAGAACAAGTACATCCTTGCAGTAAATGGTGGCACTTTGGGCGTTACAACTCGAAGCAAGCCAAGAACTCTCTCTACCATGCTTACCACCCCTGCATCAACTCTGATGAACAAGCAAGAGCACCCAAGGCACGAGCCCGTGATCACCATGGCCTCGCTAAGGGCGCCAAGGGAAGAAAGCCCAAGGAGGTACTCCAAGTCATTGACTTCTGATGCCGACTCAAGAAGTAGCTCGTATCTTGTAGCCATGCAAGTCATGACTACTGGTGCAACTTCTATCGAGGAACAGCTGGCTCAAATGAATGAAGCAATTGCAAGGCTAACAAGGACTGTGAAGGAAAATGACTTGCAAATTTCCACACTTGTTAACCAACTGGAGGCGCAGCATGACGAAAAAGCTAACCACAACCCAAGGGTTGACCTATAAAAGAAGAAATTGGTGAAGATAAGGAGCTTTCAATAAAAAAAAGTCGAGGATAAGCTGGACCAAGCAACGATGCTCATGTGATATCTCTCTATCCAGCAGCTGAAAGAGATGATCACTAGCACTATCAAGGCGTAGTATGAAGGGAGCTCACATGACTATGTGCTGTATTCAAAGCCTTACTCTAAGAAGATTGACGCCTTGAGGATGCCAAAGGGTTATCAACCACCAAAATTCATGTAATTCGATGGAAATGGCAATCCCAAGCAACATATTGCCCATTTCATTGAAACTTGGAACAACGCTGGGACGGAGGGAGACTACCTCGTTAAGCAATTTGTGCGCTCGCTGAAAGGTAACGCCTTTGACTGGTACACCAACCACGAGCCCAAATCTATCAACAGCTCGGATCAGCTTGAAAGATAATTCCTCAACCGCTTCTACAATACTCGTAGCATCGTAAGCATGCTGGAGCTGACAGGTCCAAACAGTGGAAGGATGAACTTGTCATCAGCTACATCAACAAATGGTTTTCATTAAGTCTGGATTGTAAAGATCGGCTTTCTAAAACCTCAACCATTGAGATGTGTGTTTAAGGCATGCACTGGGGGTTACATTACATCCTTCAAGGCATAAAACCGAGAACATTTGAAGAATTGGCAACTAGGTCCCATGACATGGAGTTAAGTATTGCTAATCATGGGAAAAAAAAGCCAATCATCGACTTTAAGAAGGATAAGGTGTTTGCTCTAAAGGTAGATAAGTCGGGGAAAAAGCCCTCAAATGAAGCTTTTTCCATCAATACTACCCCCATCAAAACCTCATCTGCACCCGTTAAAATCTCCTCCAAGAATAAGACGAATAAGATAAAGAGAGGTGAGCCTTCTCGCACCCAAGACAGGTACAAAAACACCTTGAGGGAGCTAAAGCAGAAGACGTATCATTTTCCAGACTTTGACGTGACCTGTTAGAGAAAAAGGTGATCAAGCTACCTAAATGTAAGCACCCTAAAGAGATGAATCGCGTTAATGATCCTAGGTTCTGCAAGTACCATCGTATTGTGAGCCATCCTATCAGCAAGTGCTTTGTCCTTAAAAAGCTCATCATGAAGCTGGCACAACAAGGGCAGATCAAGCTTGACCTTGAAGATACGGCCGTAACATATACTACTACGATTGCGTTTGGATCCTTCGATCTCGTGCCTCTCTAAGTAGCGCCTAACCACTTATGTTCATGCTCAAGCTACACGGCACCTTCTGCATAACCATCGTTGGGGGCAAGCGAGCAAGATGCATCTACCGA